GATGGCCAAAACGAGACTAGTTGTTTAAGTGTATCGACAACCTTAATTATTAACTATATTATTTATCCAATCCCGTGGTGTAAATAATATAATTAAATATTAAATTCTCCCGTAAAATTTCAATCCGGGACAAGGTAAAAGAAATTTAATGATTGAGTGTTCTGAATATTTGTTTAACAAACAATATGTTTATGATTGAGTACTCATAATATATATCACAAACACAACTTAATTAATTTTCACAAACACAACTTAATTAATTTTCTGGACACAACAATCTAAATAGAACAAACTTAACAATTAAAATCAATACAAATTAAAACATGATAACAACAATTAATTAACCAATTACTAGTCCCAAATTTATTTAGCTATACATGTTGGGAAGCTTAGAAATAGATGAATCCATAATTAAAGTACAAGATTAAATGAGATAAGGAAGATCAAACTTGTGATAGATGACAATTCTTGGAGCTTTGGTGCTAATTTTGACTTAATCTTGGATAATGAAATGATTAGTTGTGGTTGAAGATGGGTTGATATATGATTTGGTGTTGAGAAATGAAGAGAGAAGGAGGAGGAAATGTTTCTGAGAGGTGTAGAGAGATAATGGTTCGAACTTATCTGTGTAGGAAGAAGTAGGGGTGGGCAACCGAACCGAACCGGTACCGAACCGTCCCGTAATGGTACCGAATCGAATACCAGGTATTTAAACGGTTCTATATATTTTTGTCCCGTACCGAAACCGTACCGTTTGAAACGGGTACGAGACCGGTCCTAGATTTTGAGAACCGAAAAACACCGGACTGAACCATTTGAAAATAATGCACTTGAATTATTTATATTTTTCTATACCAATTCAATAGATCTCTTTTTTAGACCAACAATTTTATAGATCAAGTATGTATTTATGCATCCTTAAAATAGTTAAATGTGTGTGTTTATATATAATATATATTGTTATTTTTTCTTTTTAGATAATTTATGTTTTATTTTGGTATGTATTGAAAGAATATTCAAATTTTAGATAAATCATTAATGACTTCATTTCTAGTAATATTTGCGTACATGACTTTTTGTTGTATCATGTTTGTGCAATTTTACAACTTAATTAATTTGGTTTAAGTCTTAGCTCTCAAGGTTCAACTATAAATTAAATTAGAACTACGGAATAATATTTAACCTAGAATGAAGAAGAAGAACGTTGAGAATTTCTATTATATTCAACAATTCGATGATATTCTTTTTTATATTTTCACATGAACTAAGTAAATTAAGGATGATATTTATAGCGTGCGTCATCGTTTGACCATACTCTTTCTTATATATTTATATATTCTATTGGTTTATTTGTGAATTTTAGTCATATATATGCAATTTCTTGTATTTATATCAACATTTCATGTGAGTTGGTTGGTTTGATGATATCTACTAATTGCAAGATTTGATCAAAATTTTTAGCATGTGTTTGGCATTTACCGTTCCGAAACGACATGGTACCGAACGATTCCATCCTTGAAACCGAACCGTACCGGACCGTTAAAAATCTCGCAGATACATTACGAGTTTTACTAATTTACCGGACCGTTCCGGACCGCGCCCACCCCTAAGAAGAAGGATTAAGGCAAAATAATGATAAAATGAGTAATCATTAATTGTTGGAATTTACGGAACTGATGAGTTTATGTATAAGAAAGCGCATTTACATTTCAAGAACACAAAGCAGAGCAGTGCTGACAGGGCTGAAAGTGCATTTCAGAGGTTGCGGGTTCAAAACCGGTCTTTTGTTTTAGGAATATTTTGACTTTGCACCCCGTTTTTTGGGTGATATTGAACTTTGCACCCCATTTTCAAAACTTTTAGACTTTGCACCCTATTTCCCCTAAAAAGTCTAAAAGTTTTGAAAATGAGGTGCAAAATCCAATATCACCCAAAAACTGGGGTGCAAATTCAAAATTCCCCTTTGTTTTATCTCTCTTTTCTTTGCTTCAGATCAATAGAAACAACGTATTCAAATTTCCAGCTAAAATTTCCAATTTTGATGAAATAGTTCATTGGTTGAGCATGCCTTCTTTTCCCCTGTGTTCAGGGTTTGAACCCTATGTCTTTCCTTTTTCACCTTTGCCTCATTTCTTCAATTTACTCCTTATTTGCTTTAACGAAATTCCACTTTAATTGACCTCCAACACTTGAATTTTATTTTATTTTCTTTTTCACGCACAAAGGTATCAAATAGTATCAAAAATACTTGAAAATACAAAATACACGCATAGGACTGCACAAGTACAAAGTAACGATAAACAATAAAAATATGTACAAATATGAGTTTCACAATAACCAGTTAACTTTATCGTCAATTAGCTTCGTAAACTGAAACATATCTTTTTTAAGTGATATGGGGTTACTTTTTTTTAACGGAGTGATATGGGGTTACTTAGAAAAAATAAGATTGTTCTTCATTTTTTTTTAAGTATTTTGTGAACAATGCATAAATAATCCTTTATACTTAATAGCGATACAAATTCATCTGCACCGTTTATTTAGAAATGATATTGACCGTTCAGTAACCTTCTTCCTCTTTGACACGTCGACGCCCTTTTCTCAGATGCATTTCAGTCCCTCTTCTTCATTCGCTCACCGGTTCGCCTACTTTTTCTTCTACCATTATATGCATTTCAGATCCCAATTCCTCCATTTATTCACTCTTTCCATTATATGGTGTTCACACAGCCATAACTCAGACGGTCTTCTTATTCTCCATCCTTGCTCTTTTCTGATGAAGAACAATCCTTCCTCCTCATCTACTACTATTCTGATTAGGACTGAGGAACACCGATGAAGCTAAAGTCAATACAATCAAACAAATTAAATCAGTGAGGCTCAAGCTTTTGCTTTTAGTTTTTCCTGATTTTTGCATGTTCTATTCATTCATTACAAATTGAATCGATTCAAGATTTGTTTTGTAAATATAATCGATTCAGTTATATTTGTAAACTCAGATTTCAAATTCAATAATTATGGTTTGTCAAAAACATTATATGGAGTATAATCAACTCAGATTTGTATAGTTCAAATAATTTAGAGAAAAGGTTGTCTAAAAATTCTGTTTTCTGTTTTAATTAATGGGTTTAACACCAGTACTCAATTCAGTATTTCGTGTATTTCCCAATTAATGCTCTTTTTTATTTTGTTCACATTCTATTGCATTTCTACTTTCAACATCTGATTGTATTAGGGTTCTATTATTTTGTATTTACTCTTTGTATTGAAAAGGAGGTATTCATCGCAAGAATTAAGAAATATTGGGAAAAAAAATATGTAAATTCCATTTGCTAAAACTAATACTTCCTCCGTTTCTTAAAATTTGTGACATTAGGATTTTCGAACTATTCACAATCTTACTTTGACTACGATTTTCTAATAGTATATATAATCAAATTATTATGTATAAAATGTTATTAAATTTCTATTGATGTAAACTTTTAAAATATCAACTTTTTTTAATGTTTACTACTACTACCTTCGCCCCCCTAAGTTTGGGACAAGAGAATGTGGCACAGTTATTAATAAAAGTGGATTTATGTGTTTGATATTGAATTGATAAAGTAAGAATAAAGTAGAAATGATTTACAACCACACAAACTTTACAAAAGTATGAGACAATCTTAGTGGGATGAACCAAAAAGGTAAAATGGGAGTATGAGACAATCATAGCGGGACGGAGGGAGTAAAATGTAATTAAATATAATTACAGTCAAAGTTGTGAATTAGCAAACGTGAAAATCAAATTGTTCCAACTTTAAAGAAATAGTATGAGTTTCACACTAACCAGTTAACTTTATCGTCAATTAGCTTCGTAAACTGAAACATATCTTTTTTAAGTGATATGGGGTTACTTTTTTTTTAACGGAGTGATATGGGGTTACTTAAAAAAAATAAGATTGTTCTTTATTTGCCATATATATCTGTAATACAAGAGTATTTTGCAAACAATGCATAAATAAAAACAAGAAAAATATGATTAATTTATATAAATAATGCAGTTAATTTATTCATGGAGAGGCCTATAAATCTTTTAGAGATTACATGTAATCATCCACATACTCATTTTATGTTCTTGGCTTTACTCCAAAGCATGAAATTTAAATGGTCTGAAGCCCCAAAAATATACTATATTTTCATCCCGTGCAACGCACGGGTGGAAATACTAGTCACTTTAAAAATATGCATTTGGTTCTCTTTCGAAAAAAAGTAAAGCAACTCCCGCTAATGAACAAAGCTCAGTTAATGAGCTTTCTTTGTATCTAACATTGAATGTTGATTATGAAGTTGGGGATGACTTTGACGTTCTTAAGTGGTGGAAGGAAAATGAAAGAACGTTTCTGGTTTTATCAAAGATGGCTAAACAAGTGCTAGCAATGCCGATATCAACAGTTGCCGTTGAACAAGAATTTAGTGCGGCCGGCAACGTCCTAACCAATTATAGAACGAGATTGAACCCGAGCTCTCTTGAGACGCTAGTTTGCTTCCACGATTGGTTGAAGGCCCAACGAAGAACTCAAGGAATGAGCATCGCTCCCACCCACCACTTTATGGAGGAAACAACCGAAGGCGGAGATTCCGATTGATTATTTATTACAAAATTTATTACATTTATTAAATTCATCCTAATTCTCAATTGTACTTCTTATTTGAAATAAATATACTGGATTTTTTCTATGTTATTGTGTACATCAATTTAAGAATATAAAAAAATAAAATAAAAAGCCCAGAACCTGACCGGCCCGGTAAACCGCCGGGTGGCCCGACCCGGAATTGCCAACCACCCGGGCCGGTTCCGGTTCCCTTATTTCCAAACAAAGGCCCGGCCGGGGTGGTTGGCAGTTCCGGTTCCCTTATTTCCAAACAAAGGCCCGGCCGGGCTCAGGCCCGAACCGGAACCGGCCCGGGTCCATCCCTAATCCCATTGCAACAAAAGAAACATTTTGAGCTGCATTAAATGCTTTCCAAGTTTTGAATTGACGGTTAAACAATGGGCGTGAGCATTTAATGTTTGTACTCTTTTCATTATTTGTATCCATGTTTTACGAATTAATTCTGTAAAGATGATGATGTCACGCCTCATTAAACTATGGACACAAATTCATGATCATCCAAAACTAGCCTTGAATGGGTGAGGAGCGGTGAAGCGTCACGCTCGCTTCCAGTGATCATCATCTTCTCATGACCCAGAGGAGATGGTGATGGATGGGTGCGGAGCAGGATTTGGAGGACCTGCTTCATGGTTGGTCTTGCAGAAGGGAAGGTGGTGGTGCAGAAGACCCCAAGTTTGAACACATCCTCCATTTCATTAATGTACTGTGGCTTCTTGATAGCAGCATCTAGCACATCCTGTATGGCTTTGCCCCCTCGGACGTGTTGCCACGCCCAATCCGCTAGGCCCAACTCCTCAGTCCCGTCATTCGCTTCCCGTCCTGTAACAAGCTCCAACAGGATCACACCGAAGCTGTACACATCGATCTTCTCGTTCACTTTTGTTGTGTGAGCATACTCTGAAACTCATTCATTAATAATAAGTAACCACACTGTTGATTTCTGAAACCTCCTAATGCTCCAGTAATGATTTTAATGATTTTACTTGTTGTTGTTGTTGTTATTATTATTATATAATAAAAATAATAATAATACAAGGGAGAAATGATACATGCAAATGTTTTTTTAAAGCATACATGCAAATGTTATAAAAATATGCCAAATTTTGCAATAAAAAATATCCTCAAGTTTTACTTTCATCATCCAGCTCATTATATCTAAGGCACACTTTGGTCCCACACACACATATGTGTATATTAAGGATTACATACCAAGTCTTCCTACCTTATAAAATACAAATTAATCATGTGTCCCTTATACATATCCATCTTAATGAAGAGAATGCCAGTTTTGATTTGGTAGTTGATGGTGTATTAGCCTTTTAGGTTTATTTTATTTTTGGAAAATTAGTAAAACAGTTAATCATGTTGATCTCCCTTCAATAACTGTTTCTTTCCATATTGTTTATTTCAACAAAAGAACGACAGATAGGATTATGCCATCTCCATCTCAAAGCTTCATTTCATCTATATCTCCACTTCAACACTCTACTTTGGTTATTCAGTCCCGGATCTCTCCCTTTGGCTTACACAACTACTTACTCTCAACTCATTCACCTCCATCTACACTGAAACAAAACTTATGTCATCTCCGTCTCAAACCATTGCTTTGTGATAGACATAATGCTATAATCATATAGTAATCTCCATCGTCAAGGAATCCAGTGTGCTTGCCGGAAAAACTTTAAAAGATGTGTTCAAACAATTCTAATCTTCTTACGTTTTTAAATATTAGTTTTGTAGTATGTATTTTATCGTCATGTAGTATGCAAATTATAGTAGTGTTTTTTTCCATTTAGAACATGTTCCTCATATACTTGAATTTCATATGGCATGTCACTTGAGTATATATAATGCAGATGTCATAATAATAAGATGCAACACATGAACTTGTGAAATCCACATGTCATATCACTTAAATGCCATATATGAATTTCTAAATGCACATGTCAAAATGCAACATATGAACTTCTGAAGTGTAACAATCATATTAAAACCATTGACTCAATATACATACTGCTCTTGTCATATGACGGAAGTGTAGCATATGAACTAAGGTATATATGATGTAAGTACTAGGAGTAAAGGTAATGCACTACTAAATTCATAGACTTTTGAAGAGATAATGTACTACACTAATAAAAGTTGAGGTCTGGGGGTACATTTGAATATTTGACAAAGTAAAAATTCATGGTTCAATAAACAATTAATGTTTGTGTAGCCATGTGTGTGTATATATATATATGTATATATATATATATATATATATATATATATATATATACACACACACATATACAGAAATGCTCAGGTTCCTCCAGAGGGACGGGAGCAGTCGTCCGAACTTCACTGTTTGGGGCGGTTCCCGGTGGAATTTTTCGATGAAAATTTTTGAGCATGTTCCTCATCAAGTCTAGTTTGTCCATACCAAATTTCAGCTCAAAATTCGACCGGGAAGGCAGTCAAATAAATTCTTGAAACTTACTGCACTTTATATATGCGCAGAATGTGTAGTAAGATTCAAGAATTTATTTGACTGCCTTCCCGGTCGAATTTTGAGCTGAAATTTGGTATAGACAATCTAGACTTGATGAGGAACATGCTCAAAAAATTTCATCAAAAAATTCCACCGGGAACCGCCCCAAACAGTGAAGTTCGGACGGCTGCTCCCGTCCCTCCGACTGGACCTGAGCAGTCCTCTCTCTCTCTCTCTCTCTATATATATATATATATATATATATATATATATATATATATATATAGCTAAAAGCTTAATTAAATCTTTAGTTGAAGCGGATCACGTCAATTATATTATCGTCAATTGGTAATGGAAAATAAATTTTCTGTATCCCTAACTGTCCGGCCACACAGTTTCCTTGTCTAAAGTTATCCGGCCTTATATATGTGCAACAAACAATTTGAGGTGAAATTGTTGATGAATTTAGGGAGTGAGTGACTGACCGGGAGCAATGTAGCCGAAAGAGCCAGCTGCTACGGATGAGAGCGTGGTGTTGGCTTCCCCGTGCTTGAGCAACAGTCTGGCCAGACCGAAATCCGCAACCTTGGCATTAAACTCGGAGTCCAATAGCACGTTGCTGGATTTCACGTCTCTGTGTACAATGGGTGGGGAGCAGCTGTGATGCATATAGCAGAGGCCCTGGGCAGTTCCGATGGCAATGTGCAGCCTGGTGGGCCACTGCAGCAGCACCTGATATGCCCCCATAGGAGGCCAATTGCTGCTCCTCCTCCTCTTCGTGTGGATCCATAGATCCAAGCTCCTGTTCTCCATGTACTCGTACACCAGGAGCTTACAATCTGAACTGCACATCCCACACAATAGTTTCACAATGTTGTAATGCCGTATGGTTCCCAGTATCTTCACTTCCGCTTCAAACTCCCTCTTTAAACTCTTACAGTTCCAGATCCTCTTCACCGCAACTTTTTCGCACCCTCTACTATGCAAAGGCCCAACTAGTGCTACTTGGTAAACTACCCCCGATGCCCCTCTGCCCATCACATTGCTTTCTGTTAGGTTGGAAACAATGTTCGACTCCGTGAAGCTCAGTTTGTAGAACGGTGTGATTTTCCAGTCTGGAGAGGGCCCCTCCTGTCTTGTCTTATCATTGCTCTTCCTTCCTGCAACAAACACAATGGAGAGAATGGCCACTAGGACTAAGGCTGCTGCTACGCTCACCAGAATCGCTATAACTCTCACAAATCCCACATCTGTTTTTTGGCTTTTCCCCTTACTACAATTCCTGCTGAGGCCGAATGAAGTGGGGTTGGTCGAACAAAGACCAGAGTTGTTCAAGAAGCTCTTATCAAAAGCTGCATTCTCAAGCTCTGCCGGGATTGCCCCCGAGAGGTGATTTGATGATAAGTTGAGTGAAGTTAGCCTCAACTGACGGCCTATTTCTGGGGGGATTTCTCCGGAGAATTGGTTTCCAGAGAGGTCTAGTTCATTGAGGTTTAGCAGGCGACCGAGTGCTGACGGGATTTCCCCAGAAAGATGGTTCCCGTTGCATTTGAAGGAGGTGAGTGACTTCCATGAGATTATTTCCGATGGGAGACTCCCAGAAAGCTGGTTCCCATCTACCCAAAGAACTGATAACTGTTCCAGCACTGTCAGATCGTTTGGGATTCCACCAGTAAACAGGTTATAGCCAGCCTTGAAGCTGACCAGATTGCTCCAGCCAGAAACTCCAGCCGGAATTTCACCCGAAAATCGGTTGTTGCCCATTTCCACAAGAGACAAGTTTGGCCCAACCTTTTCTGCTGGAAGCTCACCAATAAACAAATTATCACTGACCATCAATTTCTTCAGATTCCTAGCTGTCCACAGACCATCTGGGATCCTACCAGAAAGCCGGTTCTTTTCCACTCTGAAGCTGATCAGAGAATCGCTGCAATCCCCAAGAGATTTTGGAATCTCACCTGTGAGATTGTTCTGGAAAGCAATGAAGCTCTCCAACACCTTGTTATCGCACAACCCCTCCGGCAGTGAACCCACAAGATTGTTTGTGGAGACATCTAATATTTGAAGCTTCGAAAATCTACCAAACTCTGGTGGAATTTCGCCTGAAAGGTTGTTCATGAACAGCCTGACATCCCCCAGCGCTGGTAATCTCCCTATGCTTCCTGGAATCTCGCCGGTCAATTGGTTCATGAACAAAACCAACCCTTCCAACTTTGTGAGCTTCCCGAAACCTTGGGGAATTTCGCCTGCCAAACAGTTATTGGACAAATCAATCCAATTCAAGTTGAAAGCCTCAACTGCCTGAGGAATATGACCTGACAATCTGTTAGCCATCAGATAAAGTGTGGTAAGGTTTTTCATCAGAAACATGCCGCTAGGAATGTTACCACTCAAACCATTCCCAGACAAATCCAAATATTCCAAAGCTGGCGTAGTGGCGTTGCTGAACAAGTTCTCTGGAATTTCTCCCGCCAGGTTCGAATTCCTGATCCAAAGGTTCCTCAGCTCCTTCAAATTCGTGAAACTTGATGGGATGGGCTGAGGCGAAAAGGGGTTATCGTTCAAATCCAGGACTTGTAGATTGAGCAGGTCACCGATTTCGGGCGGGAAAGAGGCGGTGCTGAGGAAGGACATGGCCAGGTGAAGCTCTTGTAGCTGTTTGAGTGCTCCGATGGCTGGCGGGATGCCATGGGCGAAGGAGTTGGCGGAGAGGTTGAAGACCTTGAGTTGGGGCGAGAGGCTGTGAATGTCAGCGGGGATGGAGCCATTGAAGAAGTTGAAGGACAAGTCCAGGAACTCGAGACTGGAACAGTTGTAGAGGGATGTTGGGAAAGGTCCGGAGAAGAAGTTGTGGTTGAGATCGACAAGTGTGAGGCTTCTGAGGTCGCAGATGAAGGGTGGGACGGTTCGGTTGAGCTTGAGGTCGACAAGCCGGATCCCGGTGACGGAGCCATCGACGCAGGTGACCTCCGGCCAGTTACAGTGGTCCGCCGCAGATGAAGTCCAGTGAGAGAGGTGGGTGGGGTTGGAGAAATGCCGTTTAATGTGTAGTAAAATGGCTCTTTCGGGGTTGCTACTGCTCTCATTCTGCAGGGTGTTTCCATGAAAGGGCAAAGTGAGGAGCACAACTGCAAGTGTAAGCAGGATTGGTGATGGTAGCAGCTTGGACATCATTTTTTATGGAAGAAATCAGAATGTGAACGAGTCGTAGTGCCCCGCCGGCCGGCAATTGGCCGGGTTTATCAATTTCTAGGATGGCGCCGCCTTTTTCCATCATCTCCCACACTGGACTTTTCCACGACCAAATGCATGCCACTCACGCCAACTTTGAATTGAATATTATACTCTTACTTCAAAAATCTTAAGCAATTAAGCTGTAATTGTTATAAAATGGAAGAAACTACGCACAAGGTCAAGATAGAGGTGTATTAGAGATGTTCTAATGGTCCGTTAATTACAATGACTATGACTCCTATTTATAGGATAAAGTGTGAGCTCAATGAGATTATACCTGATCATTGTGAGCCATACATTTATCACCTTGAAATCATAATTATGATTTCCTAATTATTTATATAATGGTGATAATAATTCCTAATCATGAATAGTTGGAAGATGACTAATTCAATTGTATTTCAACAGTATTGTATTTTAAGGGGTTGCATAAATAAGCATTAGAGCACCCCCAATGCATGTAGTTTAGTGTAGGGTAAAATATGTCAAATGTCAACTAAATGAAAAACTTTCTAATCTAAATAAAATAGTGGACAAACTAGACATTGAACTATTAAAAGCCTCCAATCCATGTAGTCTTTTGGCACAATTAATTGACCACGTGGCATGTGTTACTATATTAAATATTTAAATTCATTAGAAGAATAACATGTACAACTGCGACAACCGCTAAGGGAGCTACGAAGAATCTGGAGATTGAAAGAGATCTCCAGGTTGATGAAGCTTGATACTAAAATTGGATTGGATGAAGCTTTTATGCAAATCCGGAAATGGATGAAGCTGGATATGAAGGCCGGATAAATTGAGGAGAAGGAGGAGAAGGAGCTACGAAGAAACAGGAAATTGGTGTGGGGCTCCACCTAGAAATGGAGGAGAAATTTATGCAAAGATAAATCCGGATATGGACGATCGGTCGGGATGAAGCCGGGGCAACAACCTCCGGAATTATATGATGTCACAGTTGGAGACGAAGTCCTGGAACATACTTGGTCATGGAGATGGAAATCGACTGGAATGAAGGTGGGCAACAACCCTATGATGCTCCTAGGCAAGAACTAGCTACTTGCGTCGGTAGAGCCACAACAACAGCGTCGACGAAATCCCACCTTAGGGACCTGAGTACCTGACCTCCGATCGACGTAGGACCTTCCCCTTCATCTTACTACAACTCGGTGGGACCTCGAGATTTTGGTTCCTACTCACCGAACAATACATTTCAACCTGGAAAAGAGCGAGGAAGCTTTACAAGCCAAACTGCACTTCATTGAGGAACAAAGGAACTTGGCAACCAGAAGAATGGAGGAATACCACTGAGCGACCCAGAGATACTTTGACAAGCAGGTCAAGATTCGATAATCGGGGTTGGGGATTTCGTCCTTACCAAGTCTATCGTAAATAGTAAGTCGCTCGAAGGTGGAAAATTATCCAAGAATTGGGAAGGCCCTTACCAAGTCTATCGCAAATATCCAGCAGGAACGTTCGGCTTGAAGACAACCGAAGGTCGATCGGCCGAAATATGGAATGTAGAACACTTGAGGAAATTTTACCAAAAAAATGGCCGTTTCCACCTCTTGTACAAAAAAAGAGGGAGAGATAACTCCTGGAAAAGGCCGCACGTATGGACGAACTGTATCGAAAAACACGAACGGGGGAATCGAAACTATGGCTCAAAGCCTCACCACGACCATGAGTATTGATGAATTGTGTTGATAAGGTCAAACGGAGAAATCAAGATTGTGGTTTGAAGGAGAGTCGTCATCTCAGTAATAAGTATGGATGACCCGATCTGGAAAAACAAGCGGGGGAATCGAAACTGTGGTTTAGGAGGTGATTGTCCAAATTCAACCAAAAGTATGGACGAACCGTTCGGAAATCACTGGATGGGGGAATCGAAACTATTAACTATGGTTAAAATTCTAACCTCAGCCATAAGTATGGATGAACCATGTCGGAAGGATCGAATGGGGGAATCGAAAGTGTGATTTGGGAGGTGAGTCGCCATATCAGCCATAAGTATGGACGAACCGTATCGAAAAACTCGAATGGGGGAATCGAAACTATGGTTTGGAGATGGAGAGAATCTACATTAGAAATGTCGAACAGGATATCGATGACATTATCAGAATGGCTCGCGCGATTGATAGAGCCCCAAGACACGATTTAAGGAAACACAGAAACGATACAAGGCATGAAAAGAATTGTTAGTCTTCGGCACTACTGGCCGGAAAATACATATGAATGAAAAATAAATAAGAGAAACCAAATCAAGGGGGAGTTGGGAAAGAAGTTTGTTTGGAGCTGCTCGGCCCAGCGGAATCCTTAGCTTGAGCCGCTCTCGCCGCCTGTTTCTTCAGAACCCGTTCGTGCGCATCCAAGAATGGATCGGAGAATCCGGCAATGTCGGGGTCAAATAGTTTTGGGAAGCGCTCCATAATCACTTGACAAGAGTATCACGAGCGAGGGCATTCACAAATTCGTGCCCTTCGACTGATCTGTCCAAGAGCTTGATGCCGGCCAGCAACGGATTCTCACTGGCCCATAAATACTGACCGATATGCTAAGGAAGGAATTCCCCAGTGGTGTTTTCCAAATCAGTATTCAAGCCGGTGTCCCGCTGAAAGTCTATGACCGCCTGCTTCGTAATCTTAGAAACATCGGCGGTAAACGGGGTGGGAGGATTTTCTTCCTTGACTCTCTGGAACTTCACCCAAGCTTCCTCAGTAGCTTTCACCTTGGCCTTCAAGGTGCTGATCTCCCGATCACGACGTTGGATCCTCTTTTGGACCTCATCCAACTCTGCCACAACTTTATCCTCTTTGCTCGTACAGTCCTCAAATCGGCCGCCAATTTACGAGCGGCGGCAAGAAGAGTTTGGGCTTCATCCCGATCATGAGCCAGGAGCATCATCTCCCGCTCGGCCACTATGAAAGATTTATGATAGTACACCCTGGCATGGAATACAATCGTATGTTAAGCACAATGATAAAGCTAGAAGGGATAACTTGATGAGAATATTACCTTAGCACTCTCGAGATGGCCCGCCTCAACCAGATCGGCCCAATGAACTAGGTCAGTGAAGCTCGGAGGAGTCTTCAGGGCCAAACTACACTACAAGCCAGGACGTGGCTGTCTGACCGAACAACGTTTTTCCTTTGAAGCGAGGCCCAAGGCCGGAGAACTCTAAGTTTAGTCGATCAGTGATATCAACATCGGCAAAAACGGATCCACCAGTCAAGGGGGAGGAAGAGCGGCCTTCTACCTAGTGGGCTCAAGGCTGGTCATATCTACCACCTCTGTAGATAATGCCATCTTATCACGGCGAGGCCGTTTCCCGGACAAATTGGAGGCATCTCGAGCGGAAGAGCCGATTTGTTCGACCAGCTTACCACCTTCAAGAGTGATCTTTCACTTACTCTTCCCGCTCGGGATAGAGGAAGTAGAAGTTGGGATTGAACGCTTTATCGGATTCAGGGGGATTATGCATGTATAAGAAACTAATACCGTTAACAATAAGACGCTTTAACAATAAGGAAAATATTGAAAACAAGTTATTACCAATGCCGGCGGTCAACATCTTGGAAGGCGTGACATACGCCCCAATGTTCTGGGACCCCGCCAGTCGGAGCTTATCGGCCTGAAACTGTAGGGCGGCATCCAAAGTGGGTTCCTTGTCCGGAACAAGAAAAGCATTCCACTGATCAGGGAATGGAAGGGTTTCACCCACATGAACGAAGAAGAACCGTTCTTCCCATTTTTCAGGAGGAGTGGGCGCTTGGTCCGGCTTTTCCTGTTGAGCATCGAATAAAAACCATTTCCTCCTCCTCCGAAGAAACGAGCAAAGTAGACATAAAAAGAGGGAAGGAAAAGGAGAAAGAAGATACCTTACGAGTGAAGACTTGAAGGGTACCTAGAGAGAGGAAATCTGTGAAAATTCCACTACTAAAGGAGACAACATAGAAGGGAGAAAAAACCAGCTCTCGTATATATAGAAGCCGCCGCTCCGGAGGCAAATCCATGGGATACACGTGGCGGATGATAAATAGGGGGTATTTAAGGCGCTAAGTTGTCGGACGGAAATCCAATCATGAGGGGAATTCTGATCGGGATACCGAACGGTTACTGCAAGAACGAAACCAGCAACTGGGAATTACCGAAGAGCCGAACGCCATAGTTCATGGAATATGCCAGCAAAACGCCTAGAAGCCGTAATCTCTTTGAAGAGCTCGAACAGGGAAGTATATCAAGTGTTATTAATACGCGAAAATGACTAAGTCCTAACTTCCCTAAAAATTCCCAAATGAGATAACATTGTTAGCAAAATGGCTAAGTCCTAAATTCGCTGAAAACTCCCGAACATGATTGCCAGCAAAATAGCTAAGTCCTAATTTCCCGAGGGAGCCTAAACGAGATAGTGTTTCTAGCGAAATGGCTAAGTCCTAAATTCCCTGAAAAACTCCTGAACGAGGAAAGGCTACTAGCGAAAATGGCCAAGTCCTAATTCCCCTGGAAAAGCATGAGCGAGATAATACTTCTAGCAAAACGGCTGAGTCCAGATCCCCCTGTAGGTATTGAACGCGGAGGTATTTCGAACAAATAATTAAGTCCTGAGGCCTTTTCAAGAGCAGGGGAATAAAAGACATTGCATTAAGGAAAGATACAACACATAAACAGAAAAGTCGTCTTTACTCTTCGGCACTACCGGTCAGGATAAAAAACATGGGTAAACAACATAGCAAAAATTTATAATTACAAAGGGAAAAGTAACTGCCCAGCTTTGCTGATCGACATCCTCTTCCTCAGCATCATTTTTTTCCTCTTCATCCTCCGACTCAGCTCGGTCAGAGGCTCAGGTTCCCGACCGGCAGCCTAATTAGCGGTCCTCTTCAGTTCTCGCTCATATTTTTCGGCCTGGGCCAAGAGGATGTCATTATTGGAATAGTCGACCATCACGACTCGCTTTCCCACCAACTGCTGCATAATCGACATCAAGGCCTGCAAGATATGTTGGCACCCGGCAACATAGGTTTGCTGAGCCATGGAATTGGCCCATCGATGGCCTATCGATGTTTGGTCGGCCAACTCAATTCCCTTCTCACGATGAAGAGGCCGAGGGAATTGGTCTAGGATTTCCCGAACGTTTCAGCAAGGTGCTCCAGGGCGTATCTGTCGGCGGCCTTGGTGAAATCTTTAGAGGAGCGATACGTAGCATGGACGGTCGACAAGTCCACACTCACTTCCCGCGGGCCATCCGGGATCTGAGA